CACATCCCTCCCGGTTGCGCGCCGCGCCTCCTCTTCCTCCTGGCCGGGGCCGGCGCCGCCGTGCACCCCACATCTCCCCTCCTCGCATCCCCGCCTCAGATCCGGCTGACTGCGACGGTCGTGGATCCCCTCCCCCTACCTTGCCTTTATCCTTCACCACCGAGCCGTGACGAGCAGTTCCACCGATGCCAACGAGCTCCATCGCCCACCCTTGCTCACCATGGCGCGCGCGCGGATCCTGGTGAGGCAGTTCGGGATCTGCCCTGGCAAAACACGCCCAATCACGGCGGTTGCCCTCGACGGTGCGGCCACCCTCTGCCTTGACGCCCTCCTACTGCCGCAGCTTCTCCCAGCCAAGGCCCTCCCCCCGGCTCTTCCTCCCCATCATTCTAGACCAAGGAGGTACGGGATCCCCCGCAAAAAAAGATCTGGCCACCGCCGGCGCGGATCCGGGCCCCATCGACTCCGGCCACCACGACAGCGGATGCGCAGCTCGGCAACCGTGGACTTGCAGCTTGGAGGCGTGCGTGCAGCGGTTCAATGCTCGTGCACTTGTGGACTTTGGCGTTCTTGCGTGCAGTTTCCAGCACCACATCCTGGTTACCCAAACTGCCTTTTTTTGTGCATGCAGCGGTTCAATGCTCGTTAGTGCGCATGTACAACTACAACTCACTTCTTCATGCATGCTATTTTTTTGTTGAACTGCAACTCACTTCGTCCCCCATCATTGGAGAAACCGTGCACTCCCCCATTCCTCCTCTCTGAACACACGTCCGTCTCCCTGGAGCAGTCCACACAGCAAATGCGTGCGGCCATCATCGACTCGCCATGCGTCTCCCTGTGAGGCGAGCTTTGCCGGGATTATGACAAATTTTGTAGTTTGCTTTAATTCCATTCATCTCGATGGCTCACCCTGTAGTTTAGTCGATGCTCTCGTGCAGTGCGGAGCGTATCTGCTTGCAGTCCCACCAGACGTGCGTGTCGTCTGCCTCTCACCCGTGCATGCGTGCAGTAAATTTTTTCATGGAAAAGTTGGGTGATGCAGTTCACTCCATCCATGTTTTGCATTTTTGGATATTTTTTTGAAGTGCACTCGGTTTGTGTAAACAGAATGATGTTTCATTACCCCTATGTATGAAGTGCAATTTGTTTTGTGTGTTTTAAAAAATTAGTCAACTACATTAACACTTGCAGAGCGTTTGGTCCTCGGATGTGGTTCACTTTTGAGAGTGATGCTGTTCACTTGCGCCCAACATGAAAGTGTTAAAATTTAGTGAAACAATAAAATAGTAATGAGGTTCACTTTGATATATGTCGTGGTTCACTTGGCCTAGGCCTTGCGGTCCACTCTCGTTTGTAAAAAAGTTGAAAAAAAAAGACAACAAAAAATCGTGTGAGAAAAATAATGTCGGACAAAAGAAATTATGCAGCTCGCTTGCCCGTCTAATGCAGTGCGGTTTTGATTCTGAAGCAGTGCGGTCCGCTGTGCGATGTTGCTCATCTCATAAGTGCAAAAAATTGTTACGGGAAGAGAAAAAAAAGTAATGCGGTTCACTTCTTGGTAGTGTTGTGGTTCATTTACACCCGATGTGAAGTGCACTCTACTTTCTCGTTCCTTGAAAAAATTACGTTTGAATAAAATAAACCATGCAGTTCTCTAACACGTCTGATGCGGTGCAGTGTTTCGCCCGATGCAGTGCGGTTTTCAGTCGGATGAAGTACCCACGTTGATTTCGGTGTCGCGAAAAACAGAGTGTCCGCATTTTGGTAAATTCAAAATTCCTCTTAAACCGTGAAGAATTAGAGAGAGTGTTCTACATGAAAAAGTTGTGCCTCGTCGATATCTTTCCAACGGCGTATCATTTGAATCATTCCGATCAGCGGTTTGTAAAAATTTCACGAAAAACAGCCGCTGCCACTCGTCGTCCGCCGCATGATTTTCAAAATTAACTTAAAACCATAAGGAATCTCAAAAACATTTCAACATATGAAAGTTGCGCCTCGTCCATAGCTTTTCAACGGTATATTACACGCCTCGTTTCGACAAATGGTTAAAAAACTGGAGCAAAAACAGTACCGAAAATTTGAAATTTTTTGAAAAACAGAATTCCGTGATTTAGTAAATTTGAAACTGCTCTTAAACCATAACGAATTAGAGAAAACAATAGTTATGAAAAAGATGCACCTCGACGATATCTATCCAACGGTGTATCATTTGCCTCATTCCGACGAGCGGTTTAGAAAAAAAAATCAAAAAACGCTCGCTGTCACTCTGTGTGGGCCGCACCGTTTTTTAAACTGCTCTTAAACCACGGGGAATCTCGAAAAGTGTTCAACATGGCAAAGTTGCGCCTAATCTGTAGCTTTCCAACAGTATATTACATGCCTCGTTCCGATAAGCGATTAAAAAATTAGAGCGAAAACAGTACCGAAAAAACACTACGCGCAGTTTTTTCCGACACGAAGTTCACTAGTCTCTGTAATGCAGTACTCTTGCTAAAGAAAGTGCAGTGCCTCGTGTTGAGCATGCAGTGCGGAAGTGTTATCAGAATAATTATTCTGATATATATATGCCGATCGAGTAAAAGATTGCCATCTGAGTGAAAATATAGTCATCCGAGTGAAAGATTCTCCTCCAGGTGAAAATAGTGCTATCCAAGTGAAACTATTACAAATCCGAATGAAATACTATCACCTGAATGAAAGCTTGCCGTTCGGGTAAAGGATTGCAGTCTGAGTGAAAATATTACATATCCGAATAAAATATTGTCATCCGAGTGAAAGCTTGCCTTTCGGATGAAAGGTTGCCGTCCGAGTGAAGAAGTCCAATCGGGGGATCCGAGTGAAAGACTCTAATATCCGAGTGGAGAGATTCAGATTCGAGTGCTCCGACCAGAAGCTGAAGATGTGCCCAAAAGGTTATCTAGATTGGCTCGGATGAAAAGTGTTTCATAGAGGAATTGTTCGTAACATCAAAATGGTTAACTTTGCTTTTGGACTCATCATCATCTAAGATAGTATATGTCCTGCAAAGTCGCTATAACACTCGGAAAATACAGTCAGCAGCAAGACCGAGTCCGACTAGAAGGTAAAGATGACTGAGGGAGTCCAGGATTAGGGGGTATCCAGACAGCCGGATTATATCCTTTGGCTGGACTGTTGGACTATGAAGATACAAGATTGAAGACTTCGTCTCATGTCCGGATGGGACTCTACTTGGCGTGGAAGGCAAGCTAGGCAACACGGATATGTATATCTCCTTCTTTGTAACCGACCTTGTGTAACCCTAGCCCCCTCCGGTGTCTATATAAACCGGAGGGTTTTAGTCCGTAGAACAACAACAATCATACCATAGGCTAGCTTCTAGGGTTTAGCCTCTCCGATATTGTGGTAGATCAACTCTTGTAATACCCATATCATCAAGAATAAATCAAGCAGGATGTAGGGTTTTACCTCCATCAAGAGGGCCCAAACCTGGGTAAAACATCGTGTCCCCTGCCTCCAGTTACCATCCGCCTTGGACGCACAGTTCGGGACCCCCTACCCGAGATCCGCCGGTTTTGACACCGACAATGACCCCATTCCGAAGGCCAATCTTCAGACGACTTCTTCGGGGTACCAGACAGGTATCCTGTATCAGCGATGCGCCATATTTCGGCTCCGCCCACTTGATAAAGTGATCCCCTCTGTGTGCGAGGGACGAGGCAAAATAGCCTTTTCCACAGCTCGAAGTGAGCCTCGTAGCCCAGGAACAACTCGCAGAGAGCAACATAGCCGGCGATATGTAGAATGGAGGTAGGGGTGAAATTGTGTAATTGGAGTCCGTAGAACTCCAGGAGCCCGCGGAGGAATGGATGAATTGGAAATCCGAGTCCCCTTAGTAAATAAGGAACAAGGCAGACCCGTTTCCCCATGGAGGGACAGGGAAAGCTCTCCGCTTGCTCCCCGCCAATGTAGGTGGCAAGCCCGACTCGAACGGGCACCATATACGCCGGAGGGAGAAATTCCTTGGTCTGCAGTTCGACCAATCGACTATGTGGGACAGAACACCTCTCCTAATCACCGGACTTAGGGCTACGGGGGCGGGAGGAGGAGCTGCGGAGGTCGGCCATGCTGGAATGGATCTTTCCGAAATGCGCTCTGATGGATTCTCGCTGAGGGGAGGATGGTGTGGATCGGATCTAAGAATCCCTATCCCTTTAATAGACAATTTATTTATCTAGATAGGGGGGCAAATATAAAAATGACCTGGCGCCTCGTATTCATTCGACGCATGGGAGATAGCCCTTATTGGGCACAGAAGCCAAGAGATTCAACATATATGGGGCCGGACACTGCTTACAAACACTTGGAAATTGGAGAAGAACCCACCTTGCAATGCCGAAGACAATACTGCATGCCAGACTCATCGTCATTGAAACCGGGTTTGGGGGCTACTGAGGGAGTTCAGGATTAGGGGGTATCCGGACAGCTGGATTATATCCTTTGGCCGGACTGTTGGACTATGAAGATACAAGATTGAAGACTTCGTCTCGTGTCTAGATGGGACTCTACTTGGCGTGGAAGGCAAGCTAGGCAATACGGATATGTATATCTCCTCCTTTGTAACCGACCTTGTGTAACCCTAGCCCCCTCCGGTGTCTATATAAACCGGAGGGTTTTAGTCCGTAGAACAACAGCAATCATACCATAGGCTAGCTTCTAGGGTTTAGCCTCTCCGATCTCGTGGTAGATCAACTCTTGTAATACCCATATCATCAAGAATAAATCAAGCAGGACGTAGGGTTTTACCTCCATCAAGAGGGCCCGAACCTGGGTAAAACATCGTGTCCCCTGCCTCCTGTTACCATCCGCCTTAGACGCACAGTTCGGGACCCCCTACCCGAGATCCGCCGGTTTTGACACCGACAATGACCCCGTAAAGTATTCAAGATGGCCTTTTATGGAGACGTGATCAACACGAGAGTTGTTTGTCTCGTCGAGGCACGAGAATTTGACATTTGATCCGTCTTGATCGGAGGTCACATGCAAATTCAACGGCCCGCGCAAGGAGCAAGACAGAAGTTTGGATCGGATTCAGACTGAAACCGAGTTGGACTAGAACTAGGACTCTAGGACGTGAATTAATGTAATTTTTCATGTAAGGAAAGCCTAAATGAATCCTTTTCTTGTATGGGAAGTCCAGCCACCTCATGTATATGTAAGGGGTGACGGCCAATTGAACAACACACAATCGAACAAATAAATATACTACTTTTTCATCTATGTTTTATCTTTTCAGTGTTTTTCTCTCTCGTTCTTTGCTGTTTCTCGAGTTTGAGAGCTACGAATCCCGAGGCTCTAGGGGTGAGCGAATCAACCTAGGGCAGTCCATAGCCACCGCACTCCCTGACGGGGTCCCTCCCGGGCATGTGAGGTTTTGCGTCTGCAAAAGCGCCCGCCGACTGTCTTTCATATCGCGTTGACGGTCGGGTCTCCTTCGATGTGAGTTGCGGTGCATCACCCTTGGCGTCGAGGGTACACGTGACGTGTTCATGTGTCAACACACTTTTTTGCGACTCTTCTAGGGACTGAAGATCAATTGTCATCATCCACCATGTCCGATCTTCCCAAACCATCTGAGGTAGATGCCGATAACATCATTAAACCCAATCTTGATGAGATATTGGCCGATCATCGCCAAATCTATGAGCAGTACAAGAAATCACGGGAAGAGAAGGATTTGCATGAGTTCCTTGAAAAATTCAAGAAGGATCGCCAAGGCAACATCACTCCGATTGAAGAAATCAAGTTCCCTCCTCTTCAAGCCGAGAAGGTTAAACCCTCTGTGAGTACTACCTTTTC